TATATCAATTCTATTCTTTTGAATTGGCTTATCCAGATATGCAATAAAATTTGAGACATTCCATTTGAAAAATCAAAACCTTGATATCTAGGTCGAAATTGCGACACCCTGTATAATCGCCAGTATTTTATAAATGTGTCATCAAATGTCATGTATAACATCCCATAAATAGATGTTCCCAAAATATATTTGTTTATGAGTAATATTCCGTCCACACATGAACGGGCCACTCTGTATACAGATATCGCGTGTACCTCGTATATGCATAATGCGTCACCGCCCAATCCAGGTAAGATGCAATAATTACAACACCAGGGCCCATAGGTAGGCGATCCGTCTGCTGAAAATATTTTTCCAACGTTTTAGGACAAATTGATGTACGGAAAGATACATGATGTGAGAAATGTCTAACAGGTGCGTAAAATTACTGGGGACAGAACTGTATTAATACACTAATATCAAAAAAATGCGATACAGCCTCCCTCACACCTAACTTTTTAGCCCTAAAAAGATTTTCAAAGATGATCAGGAAACTCTGAAAAGTCAAAAAACAAGTATGAGTAATTTTTTTTATTTTTTTTTTTTAGTTTGTGGCATATCTCTCAACCGCCACTATACGGATTTTCAAAACCCGGCAGCTTTTTTGTCCTTAGGATAGTAGCAATCTTGTGTAACAAATTCTTCCAAATCCGAGCAGTACTTTCCATGTCATAGTGGAGCCAAGGATTAGTGGACAGGCAGACAGACCGTGATGTAGACAGTAGGGGTGGGAAATAAAAATGGCACTCGTAAAGATAGGACTATATTATTTCTATGGCGTTCGGATATTTTTTTATTTCGAACAACAAAAATAACTCCAATGGACTAATGACGCATCCAAGTTTTACGGTGACCTAGGTATTCACCTAAGTAGATTGTCAACACAGCGTCAGCGCCCCCTTTTCTTTGTTTCCTCCTGCTTTGTAGGTCACAACCCATTTAATGAAAAGCGAATCCTCAATCCTCCAAAGGAAAATAAAACAAGTTTTCGGGTCGTAGGTGTATCCAAACTTCGTTAGAGGCTTCGATAAAAAAGCCCCATTTAATGTCTTGTTGAAACGAGATCAAAGACGTAACTGTTGGTAATGGAAGACAATGAGAACAGAAGAGTACGACAAAGACGCTCCTTGTCACTGGTATCGGAATTAGGCCGATTACTGACCCTTAAAATCAATAATCTATTAATCCGGTTACTCTTTATAGCGCTGGAGCTGACTCCATTTTCGTTCCGCGATATTGCGTTTTCAGAATAGAAGATCCCAGGGTAAAGCGAACACCCTGGGCAAAAAGAATTCGTATTTTTACATTTAAACCATGAATTAACCGTCAAGAAAAAGTACTCAACTCCTCAGCCATATTTGCTTAATACTGGCAAACAAAAGGAAATTTTGTATATGTTTCCCGGTTCTAGGTATTATATCTAATCTAACTAAATTTGGATCAAGAAAAACGAATATGGACACTGAAATCTTTTATTAGCTCTTGTTCTTAAGATATTGAGCAGTTCCCTGTATACATCCATTTAAAGGTAAATTGAAGATCCTGTGTAATTTTAAATAAAACCAAAATCCAAATTATATCCAAAGGAAAAAATACTGTTTCGACGTTTTCTTTTGTAATACTTTTTTAGTACATCGAATCCAGAGCATCTCTTCTAAGAGTCCAGCGGCGAGCATTGACTCGTCACAACGACCCTAATATCGGCGTTCCATACTAAATATATCTTGGTGGAACCTTTCACCATGCTCATAGCTTACAGCTCCACAGTTTTTAGGTAAAAGCAAGATAATAGTGGGGGAAATGAATATTCAGGGCCAATTTCACCAACAACAGTCCGTTATTCTCCACCTATAGGGTAACAGCCCGTTAAATACAGCGAATGAGCTTTAAGTTCCAATCAACAAATTTTAGCAACCCAATAGCTATGAAATGTTGAAAACAAAATATTGTCAAAGTATGAGATGACATCTTGTCATTGAAACATCACCAGCTTATTGAATATTAAGAAATTACATACAACTCAGTCAAAATTTAAACGAATGTTTGATTTTTGAATAAAATTCGTGTTTTAATTACCATTGTTGATTTTGTATTCATGACAATATTATTTTCTTCAATTGATATGCGATTTTACTGATTCAAGATCATCTACTGGGTGTTTTTTCTTATAAACCTGTTGCAGATAGCCATTAAGCATCTACTTGATGACTGGCTCTACCAAAAAGTTCATAGATATTGCTCGTTTCCAAACATTCATTCATTTACTTGCCGTTCATCAGAACCATTATGGCACCTTACATTGATATTCCGACAAAACCATTCTGGTTTTTTAATATCCATACATCCATAAAGTTGAATATTTTTCGTTGTTCAGGAACTTAACAAACATGCACACTAAATTCACAGCGATCAACAAATACTCAAACATATGTCGTAAACCTCCCGGCAAACTTAAAACCTGCAGAAAAACTAGAAATTTGCAATAACTTTCTTGTTGCACTGAGTACATATTCTGGGTTATATTTATATTAGACGTTATTTGAATCGCAAAACATATACACTGATTTGTATAACAGCTGATTATCTCCTGATATTTTAAAACTAACCATATCGACAAGAGACACATAATTCTGTGGGATCCGTCCCAGTGGTAGTGGTGTTGGTTATCGTTACTTTCGAGTACTCGTTACTAATCGTTACTCTTCTAGTAAGTAATCGTTTATTGTATTCATTACATTGATTACTATGAGTAGTATGAGTATAACGATTTGGCAATGTGCGTCGTGTGGTTAATGTTGAATTTAAACAAGTTGAATGGAACCGAATCTTGTAAGAAAATATACGACCTTAAAATTTGCAAAATGTTATAAGCATAGTTTATTCAAGACTATCGTGTTTAATGCAAACATTGTTTCTTCAAGCTGTATGCTTATCGAGATGAGTTATCATAGTATGGAGTGTCATATGACTCATATGAGCCTACAAACTGAAAATACTTTGTATTTACTAGAAATACTTAAAAACATGTCTTTTAGTCAGAAAGATGATCTGTATATGGGCTTAAGGAAATTCGAAATGGCGTGTGACTTTTCGAAGCATTTCAATTAAGCATAATATACCAGTATAAAAAATTCTACGTTGAGCTTGGTCTACACATAGACTATTGGTGGTCATACTGAATCATAATTTTTTTAGCAAAATAGTGCATGGAAACACGAGTCAAATTGACATAACTTTTATTATTGTGGTTGTGGCGTTACCTTGTTGTCGCTTTTCTGCCTTATAATACTACCGAACTTTGATCCGATCCAATCGACTACTTATTCCTTTTCAGGTTCCCAAGATCACAACAATAAAAGCGAATTTGTGTCACGGTGTAAATAGGTAAACTTCAGATTTAAAAACAATTACCAAATTCTATGTCCGCCAATAAAAAAAAATGAGTTTCCAGGTTTCCATCTGAATGTGAGATGTCTGGCAACCCTGGTGCATGAGCGGTAGTGCTACAGTCTAACCAGCGTTACCACTCAACGATCAACGATTGTACAGGTACCGGGTAGGGATACGGAAAAAGAGAGTAATCAAAGTAATCATTTCGTGCTCGGATTGGTACTCATTACTTCGGGTATCTAAGAGTAACGAGTACTCGAGTTTCGTATGATTACTCTTTCAACACCACTACCCAGTGGAGCAAACTCTGCCAACTGTCGAAATAATCTTTATTAATTCCAAGTCTTATTTTTGTTTTACTGTGCCTGCCTAGATATTCAAATATGGCCAGGAATTGTTATCGCCTGGCTATTTTAGGCCTTCAATAACTCCTTATTTTAGATCTCTCCTTATTTTGTTTTTTCCACGCATTCATGGTAGAAAGAAAAATATGTTATCGAATATCGATACCGTATACCGTGCAACAGGCACGCCCATCACTACTTTGACAGATTGCAGAATGATGTCAAGGTGACAATCGTTATGTGTTTTTGTTTTTGTCTTAAATAGGCAAGTAGGTTTTGTGTATTCATTTTTATTTTTATAGCATTTCCAGAATTTCATATTTCGAAACGATGTCAAGGGCCGGCAGGGGAAAACCTTTCGTCGCCATCCCTATATTGTATCCCCACCAGTCACCAGTCAAAAACGTTAACCACCAATATTTTATCACAATTTATAATTCTTTTTAGCTCTTATTTTTCAGTAATTACTAATAATTTTAGGTCTATGTCTACAGTAATTGCATTATGCACTTCGGAGATGTAGGGATTAACATGTTTCGCACATATCGGTGTTTTAGGATGGGTACGACCATACTGTTTTGATTGCTTTTAAGAAATTCATTAACCCATGTATTTATAACAAATGATTACTATTATGATGTAAAGAGAGATGAGGAATTGGTTGGAATACATTTTATATTCTATTTTCTTGCAAATCCGCACAATTCAACAGGTATGTGTAGCTATAATGATCTCATAATATACACACAGTATATTGAACTTAACAAATTTCGAGATTGCCATGAATTAACAAACAACCAAACCTGCTGCCAAATTTAACAGCTAGAAAATCGACCTATTATTTCTCCCATTCCCATTCGCTGAGGGGATAACGGATTGTTAAATGTAAACCTATAACATATATCAAAATACATGAAAGTTGTCCTGTTTTTTCTGTACAAAAGCATCATGTTGGAATCAAAAAGTGGTCTTGTTTATAATACAGTCGAATTTTTACGATTTTATTCTACATTTTAATAGAAATCACTGATATTCTGACACCTTTGAGAGCTTCCATCAAATTGCATTTCGATAAGGTATTTTCCTATTGGTCCATAATAATAATGTTGGTGAAATCGGCCCTCAGATACTTATTGCATTCAAGTTCGTTATACCTATGTAGGAGTTCTTTCAGCAACTGTTGACAGCTATTATCTTCTCTGTTGCCCAGAGACCCTCGTATCACACCTTTAAAGGCTTGCCAGGCTGCTTATTTTTCACCTTCATAATTTCACCAAACGCAGGGTCCTCTATTCTGTGATATGGCTCTTGGTTGAAGTAGATTCTGTTGCTTCAGTCTTGGTCCAAGAAGCTCGACCTTCTCCTTCGTCAAGTCAAGATATTCTATAAGATCACTCAATTCTCTCAGACTTGTTGATTTGTTGATGTTGACCAACCTTGCTACAAGCAGGGCGTTAAGCAGAAATAAAAATGATCCACAAACTCTCACTGAGCAAAAGTTAGAAAAAGCATGCGCGGCCCACAGTGTTTCCCGGTTACCTATCTTCATACCGAAGTTATAGAAATAAAATGTCTCGAAAATTGAAGGGTATCGTGTAAAAACAGCATTAGTCCATTATTTGGCTAAATTGAGCTTTCAGTTTATTTTGGTGGCATTTTCCTGACGCTATCTTGTGATCAGCTTCTCAAATTGTAAGAAGGGCCAAGGGTCGCGTGTATGGAAAAATGGCATCAGTCCATATGGAAACAGAAAGACAAAGAGACGTATTGAAAACGTTGCGCGCCACTACCCACGATCTTGGATCTGGTTGTTTTTTGTGAACGTTTTCGCTGTTTTACTACTTTTCCTGAACCTGAACTCTGTAGACTTCTTCGTGAATTTAATAAACTAGGAACCACTAATGCACAAAACGCTTATCTTAGTGGTCTTCCTGTTCTTCCTGTCATGCGTAGACGCCCTTAAAAAATTTTTTTTTTTTTTTATACTCCAACTACCACGAAGGCCTAAGGCCTAAGCACCCATTGGGTACCGTGGGGCTATGGGGGATGCATGGGAAAGGGGGGACGCCACACGGACTCTGGCGAGGGAACACGTGTGCATGCAACATGCACACATTCTGGCTCCGCCTACGAGAACCGCCGGGTGGTACCTCCACGTTCGACAGTCAGAGACCATCTACCACCTACGGACAATCACAACATCCATAGCCAGAGCAGAGTCAAGGCTTAATAATGCTTCGTTTAGTTATGGTGTCCGATTGGTTGAAAATGGAATTATACGTGATGTTCCAGGTTGTCTTAAGGCTTTTTTGTCTTTACACGGAATTACACTTCGTCGAGTTCGGTACATAAGAGACTCATTAGTTGCAACTGGAAAATCGCCCATCGACATGCGTGGAAAACACAACACACGACTTCACAAACTTTCAGAAAACACAAAACAGAAACAGACCGAGACTATTAGGAGCCTCAAATGCCGCAAATCTCATTATTCTTTGGCAGATTCGCAAAAAGTTTACCTACCTGAAAATCTAAATATCGCAAAATTACATAAAATGTATTCTATTGGAAAAGTTGAAAACGAGATTCCCTATGAATCCTTCCGAGAAATCTTTGAAAACAACTTCAATACATCGTTCGGTTATCTATGAAAGGATACTTGTAGTACGCGTGATTCCTTAAAAGCTGATATATCTGCACCTACCGCTACCTTAAATTACCACACGGAACAAACCAGGCAGTCAGCAAGTAATAATTTGGTGAAAAAGACACTTGAGAAGACACTACATCAAACAAGGACTGAGCGATTTTACAGTCTAAAGAGAACTTACCGCAAACGTGTCTCGAAGTTCCCCGCTATCGAAAGTATCTCGATGGCTTACCAAAAAAACTTGCCCTGTCCAAATATCACTACAAATGATGTTTACTATAAGCGGGAACCAAATTTCGTCAGTTTTAATATCCACATTCTGTCAAACTCAAATTCTATTGCTATTGCTAAGAAAGGAGCTGACGATGCTGTATCACTTTTTATAACATCCTTGCCATTTTCTGTGACTCCTGTGCAGGGCAAAATAAAAAATTTACAGTTATTCGGTTTTTGCATTACTTGGTTACCAAGAAAAATCGTTTTATTACTGTGAAAGTAATATTCCCGATCAGGGGACATTCATACCTCGAGTGTGATAGAGATATGAGTCTTGTCAACCAAAGAGCATGCACTGAGGTACTGGATAACTGGAGAGATGAATTGAAAAATTGCCGTGTGAAACCTACACCATTTGAAGTCATTGATTGTGGCAAAAATTTTGATTTTCAAGATTGGAGTACGTTTTTATCGCCGTTTTATCCAACGAAGTGCCCCTCTCCAACCCGACCAGTCAGGATGCTCAAGTTTTGTAAACAGAATCCTCGCATAGTTTTTCACAAATTTACATACATAAGCCTATCTGTTAGTTCTAAATTTGATAAGGTAATTCGGAAGAATCTAAAAAAGACGCTAAGAGATCAACAAGAACGAGAAGAGGAAACATTGAGAAAACTTTACCAGGACCCAATCCCAATTAAAAGTATGAAATGGAAAGATCTGCAGGATCTGACCAAAGTGGCACGAGTCCATAGTTGAACATCATCTTTTGTTTGTTACGTTACTAGTTTTCAGTAAAGTTCATTTTGTAAAATCTTTTTTACTAATAAACACACTGTATAGCAAAGATATTCTTTACGACTTATTTTTTCATCAATTCTACTTTCCAACAAGTAAGTAAACCTTAATTACCGATTTTCTCAAAATCAGTTCGGATGGACTATTGTCGTTATTCCCCGGTATCCTTCTGGGCTGCAAAAGTCTTTTTGAATCCAACATAACATCGAGTCGTCGACGGCATTGACACGCTTCCGTGGCAACCTGGTCTGAAACAGAAAATTGGGAACATTAATCACTTCTTTGGGTGACTCAACATTTGAAACCTGGTTAAAACGCCAAGAAGAGGAGATTAAATAAAAATATTCACCCGTTTCTTATGTATTCAAATATTATTCATGTAAGAACCAGGTAGTTAACTACTTCAGATCAATTGGTAGGTATTTATTTGCCGCTTCTAATTTTCTGAAGTTTCTATTTTTGCCGCGGTGATTATGATTTTCGGACCACAGTGCGTAGTTAGATTTCATTACCCAAGTAGGTTCTATATGTTGAAAAGGAGCCCTGATCTTTTAATGGTGATTTTCGTGTTTAGCCAGACAAAATACCTAAAAAATAGCTATTTGTTAACCCGAAACATTTTGCTGTTATCAGCAATCAGTTATTGGGCTATTGTAAAATAGGGCAAGACTGATGATTAAAGAAACTGTCTTCTATACAAAAATCTATTATTGTTTAATTTACAAATGGGATTACCAATTATAGTCACTATAACGTAGTGAGCAATGCTGTTAAAATTATTTTAAAAATAAATTCATATTAATTGTTGGTCGAAACTGCACCTCGTATTCGGAAAATTGTTAAGTTACACCTGGCAGTGTTAGCGCAAAGGAACAGATGAAATATTGTGTGGTCATTGGTGTTTACCATCACATCTCTTAGAAAGAAACATCAGCAGACCAGAAGTTCGGTATCAATCAATATTCGAGAACTTAGAAAAATTTTGAAGAGATACCGGCAACGAAGATGTTCAACGATGATGAAGTTAGGCAGGTAACAAGGCGTAAAAAATCCATTCAATCGCCATTTTGCTGTAGGTTTTGGTACTTTAGCGAATTTAAATTGATGAAAATGATCACAAATTTCAAATTTCAGTCATTTGAAGCAATTGTGAGGAAAAAAATGAGGAAATGATTTTTAAAAAAAGAAAAGCCTGGGACCAGTACCATCAATGTCGTTCCCTGGTCCTTATCAAAAATACGCCACATTACAAATTGCGAAATTACGAAGTATCTATCATACAGGGTCCTCCAAAGTAACCTGACGTTTTCAGAATGGATAGTACGAAGCTGTTTTTGACGTAGAACATCGGTTACCGTGGGCAAGACATCGGTAGTAGATGCCATTTCAGTAGTCATGGAGCTGTGGACAAGTGAACATCGCGCATTTGTTGTCGAGACTTATTTTAAAAATCACGACTCGGTGATCATTACACAGCGTCTATTTCGTACACATTTCAATGTCGGACGTCATGGTTCTGTTCCATGCCGTAACACAATTAAGTCCACGTCGTTCAGCTAGGCTACAAGCGACTAGTCTAAGGCTTTCAGAAACAACAGTGTGGCGTATTTTGCATAAGGATTTACATTATCACCCTTACAAATTAGCGATGGTTCAAGAACTGACAGCTGAAGACTTTGTGAACCGTTTGACTGCAAGCAACCAGCTTCTGGAACTTTTGGATGAAAACGCTTTAGGTGGCTTAATTATGTCTGATGAGGCGCATTTCGAGTTATCAGGCTACGTAAATAAGCAGAATTTTCGCTACTGGTGTGCAGAAAACCCGAGAGAACTTCACCAGCGACCCCTTCATAGTCGCAAGGTTACTGTTTGGTGCGGAGTGTCGCGATTCGGCATAATTGGACCCTATTTTTTTGAGGACGATGCTGGAAATTCTGTCACGGTCAATTCGCAACATTATCTGGAAATGTTAAACACATTTTTGGAACCAGAGCTTCGTCGACGGAACATAGATTTAAATACTGTATGGTTTCAGCAAGATGGCGCCACAGAGCATACAGCACGAGCAACAATGGTTCGACTGCGAGAAATGTTTCCAGGAAGAGTCATTTCGCGGAATGGAGATGTTCCTTGGCCGGCAAGGTCTCCCGTTCTCACGGCTTGTGACTATTGGTTATGGGGTTATCTCAAAAGCAAGGTATATTTAACGACCCCAAGGACTATTGAAGAATTGAAGGAAAACATTCCGATGAGTATGGTACAGCGCGTAATGGGGAATGTGCGAAACCGGTTGGAAGAGTGTGTCCCCAGTGAAGGACATCATTTGACCGAAGTTATTTTCCATACATAAAATGGCATGTAATACACTTTCGATTACTTATATATGAAAATAAATATCTTGAAAGATACATTTGTAGTTTCATATTGAAACCTAGGAAATTATCATCAAGACAGATTATTATTATTAGCACACAAATCCTCACGAAGCACATATACACTGCCGTTTTGCCTGTTTCCTTCCAACTATGGTGTACAACTTAGAGTTTGGCCCCCAATAAGCCATCTCTGGAGCAGATGTGACATCACAGCAACTATGACAGCTCAAGCGACAGGACGTTTAGGCAACACGTACAGCTCCACAACGAGTGCACATCAAGTAAACAGCTAGTTCCAAGTTGACGTCTTATAGGAAGACCAATATAATGGCACAAAAAACCTATATATTGTCAACAAAATGATATAATGTAACTTTACAAGATTCGTTATGACACTGCCGGTATTAATGTCACTCCTCTTTACAGTACCAGACAACTAAGTATTTTGTTCAAGAAAAAGGTTCATTTTGCAAGAAAGCTATTCTCCTTATAATTTCAATTTCATACTATTTATCCCAAAGCCCATCTAACCCATCGATACCTGCTCCTGCCATAATAAAGCCTTGTCCAGGAAGGGCGAATTCGCCGCGAAACGTTTAGCGCGAAATCATTCGCGCGTTAGTGAGATGATACTTGACATCAATACGTCGCGTCCACAAGCATCGCGCGAATTCAAAATACGCGCGTAAATCGCGTGCACTACGCCAGACTCTCGACTCGCGCGTATTGCGCGCGAGTCGAGATACTAGGGAACGCCTTGTTGCGTCCAGTTAACGCACGAACTCTAGAGCGAGTGCACGTATCGATTGAAATGGAGCGCCAAAATTTTGACACGGAATTGTTTATAGGCGAAATAGAAAAAAGACCGGCGATATGGGATTTGGAATCACCTGATTATGCCAACAGGATTTTAAAACGTAGGTCTTGGGAAGAACTGGTGTCAGTATTTTCTGATAAAGATGACTCCGAGGAAAAAAAGAAAGATTTAGGTACGTAATTATTATTAATTTATTGATTAGTAACAAACAAAGAAAATTAGATCACCAGGTTGAATTGTAGTCGTACTCAAACCATCTAGAGCTGTTTCGAACAATGTGTCTTCGTATCTGTATCCATCTCTTAACCTGACGTAATTGTGAAGAACACAACAAGCTTTAATTATGTTTTCCGCAAATTCAATATTCTCCATTTGTTTACCAGGATTCCAAACAACATTCAATATAACGTCTTTCTCTAGAGAGGCAGTAATTAAATATTCGTTTTTCTTTGGTTAAATTCTTGCCGCAATATGGTCGCATAATATGTTCTGATAAGCTAAATGCCTCATCTCCAACTATAACATGAGGCAAACGTGTTGTACGAATTTCTGAGACTGGTTTTGGTCCCGGAATGTTCAAAGATTTTTCCGTGAGTTTTTTGAAGAATGTGTAGTTTTTAAAAATCGTTGAATCATTGCTCTTCCCACATGCTCCAACATCTATAGAGATAAAACAATAATTTGCATCACATACGGCAAGCAGCACAGTCGAAAAAAAATGTTTATAATTGTAGAACATAGAGCCGGAATCTAAAGGATTTATAATTCTAATATGCCTCCCATCAACTGCTCCAATGCAATTAGGAAAATGTGTATATTTTTCGAATCCTCTTGCAATTTCCATCCACTCTTCTGTCGAAGGTACTTTCATTACTATATCTTTTAACTTATTCCAAATAACATACACAGTTTTTTAACGATGTCAATTACAGTTGATTTTCCTAATCTATAGGCATAATGTAAGTCAGCAAAATAACAGCCAGTTGCTAAGTACCTGAAACAAAATTGAAAATTATTGTGAAATTGTTAATTTCAGGTATACTCTTCAAAAAAGTGGAAAGGCCTTCGCGACACATTTGTTTGTGAAATGAAAAAAACAAAGAATGCACCATCAGGCTCTGGAGCTTCGAAGATTCAATATATATATATATATATATATATATATATATATATATTTTCAACGTCTTATGTTTCTCGAAAGATCAGTACGTAATAAAAAACAGAAAGCAATATTCAAGACACCTCAGAAAACTCAGAGACAGGTAACGAAGAGTCTACAGCAGATGCAAGGGAAGACATAATGAGGCCGCCAAATCAAAATATTAAAAGAAAGAAAATGACTGCCGCTGATGCTGAATTCCTGAACATAATTAACAAAAATATAAGCTGTAGGAATCAACAACAGCCACTGCTTTCCAGCGTAATGGAAGGTGATGATGACAAACTGTTCTGCTTATCTTTACACAAAGAATTACTTAAGGTACCTGAGGCCAATCGTATAGCAGTAAAATTGAATTAATGAAAATTTTGCAAGCGGCTCAACAATCTTCGCAATCAACTGTGTATTCAAACAATTCGTATTCGTACTTTTATAACAGTTCGGCTTCATCTTCAACTTCAATTCCGGTTCGATACCATGCACAACCTACAAGACCAAATGAATTTACTTTTCAAGAATACGACCCAGAAACGCCACCCGTAACAACTTGGCAAGGCCGCAATTCTAATTCAGTGCCAGGATCTTCACAGGCAGCATTATACGTAAATTCTCCATCAACATCATCAAGAGATTCTCAGGATAGTGAATGGCTTAACCTCTTCCAAAACCATGACATTGTTTAATTATTATATTTAATCTCATACTACATTTAGTTCGTTTTTATTAGTAAGAATATTTTTTTATTTTAAAAGACTGTGTTAGTAATATAAGAGATTATGAATAAAACACTACTTACCTTAAAGTTATACGAGTTTCTGTTCTGGTGAAACAACATCCTCGCGCGGAACATAATTTGCACGTGGCAATAAATCTTCTCCAATTAATAAGAGTAAATCATCAAACGATTTCACGGACATACGAAAGTAGTTAAAAAATGTCTTATCATGTTGTCTTAATTTTGGATACAAAGTTTCAAACATACTATGGGTCATTCTATCATGAAGAATTGGATGTACTAAATACATTCTATTTTCCCTCCGTTTCTGTCTCTTCCAGCGACGGTAAGCTAACCACAACGAGACCGCTTCGTTCAACTCCATGTTTCGTACTGAATTCCTCCCTGAATGCTTGCGCGTTGGTACGCTATGTGTGGACGCAACGGTAGCGCGAACACGCGCGAGAGAATCGCGGCGAATTCGCCCTTCCTGGACAAGGCCTAACATAAATCGCGTTCCTCCCATACATTTTATATGAGTGTGGGGTCCGTTCATCACCGAGCACCCTATATAGTCAACTACTATTTTCCACAACTATTTCCACTTGAAGCTGATTCCTCCTACAAACAGACAAGTAATTGATATGAGAAAGGGCGCCTTCCATCATTTCATAAACCCCAAAGTCGATTCAGAACAGAGATTACCGTTTCTCACTTTTTCGCAAGTTCAATGGAGCTAACAAAAATTGATATTATATAACTACTTTCTTCGAAATTCCATTACGGCATCCCCATTTTGCGATTATGGCGCTATATATCATCCCAGACTACCATTATATTTTCAGTGCTAGCTATAAAGACGTACCACGTCCATAAACCCCAGTTTTATTAAGAGTTCCTACAATAGAAATCAGCCAGGTAATGTGAGGTAAAAATTATTGTTTGAAGTTTACTTGATGCCACTTCAGTTATTGTGTGCTCAATATAAAGAGAAAAGGTAACTTTTTGCGACAGAACATCAGTATTTTTCACCAAAAATATTTCTTATCCTTTAGTGGTCTTTCATAAAGTAGAGGCGGCAAAACTTACTTTAGTAATTTCAAACGTTAGGTTTCACATTCCTTGAAATTTGGCATAGGGGTTACGCAGGAAGATCCTTTATACCAATCTTTGTAGCCATGTCTAGGGTACCATCTAAAAAAATCGATCTATACTAACTGTGTTAGTGTTTGAAATGTTAAGAACATTATTGTCATTAAGAAATTAGCTGCCTTTGGAAACGATCTTAAAATGATAGTTTAAGTAATGTGAAATACAGAACTAAAAACATTTCCTGAACATCTAGAAAAATGACAAAGTTACGCTACCCACAGGTTTTTAATTTGAAGAATCACCTTGATAGAGTGTAAAACTGAGTGATGACGTCACATGACACCACCTACCATTGCTACCACGAAGCGATGCACCGGCCGCAATGCCCATGGACGATGAAAATTAACTTTTTCGGAAATATGCCACTTCAATAATTATTGTGTGCTCAAGAGGAAAGGTACCTTTTTGGCGACAAAACACCAATATTTTTCCGCCAAAAGGTATATTTCGAATCTTTTAATTGTTTTCCATAAAGTAGGAGTGGCATTCCTAATTTCAAACGTTAGGTTTCGCATGCATTGAAATTTGGCATAGGGGTTACGCAGGAAGATGTGACCTTTATTCTAAACTTTAAACCCATATCTAGAGCACCATCTAAGAAAATCGATCTATACTAACTGTATTAAAGAATGTATAGTGTTATAGTTAGGAACATTATTCTCAATGAGAAGTTACCTGCCTTTTGAAACACACTTAACATGACAGCCTAAGCAATGTGAAGTACAGAACTAAAAATATTTTCTGAACATCATGAAAAATGACAAAAATACACTACCCAGAAGTTTCATATTTGAATAATCACCTTGTTAGAGTGTGAAACTAAGTGATGACGTCACATGACACCTGCTGCCATCGCTAGCACAAAGCGATGGCCGGCCGCAATGCGCATGGACGATGAAATTGACTTTTTCGAAAATGTCATTGTACTGCTGTAAATACAATTTTCATGTTAGTAACAACTGGTATAAACGAGAATGGAGATACATTTGATTAGGCTGGAGATTATGTGAGTGTGGTTCAGGAACCATAAAACATGACCGAAAGAAAAAAAATGCTTAAACTAACAGTTTCAGGTTTTAAAGTGATCAGGTGTTATGATGGAATGCGGTGTCGAGGGCATGCATAATTATTATGACTTGGTATTGTACTTATTACTTTCCAATCGACACATGACACTATATCACAACAATATGAAATTTATATTTTTCAGTAATTAGTGAATTCAATAAGTGTAGGCATCATACTGGATTCCGCCATTTAGATTTTCAAGAATCATTAGGTATAAGCGATCTAAAAACCACTTGAACCTAATTTTGAGCATGATTACAACATTTTTTGCATACATAGCCGCCATATTAGAACAGCTATTTCGATTTATAAACAGTCGATAATTGTTCATTATTAGTGACCCTGAAAACATCTAAAACTTGAACTTGAACTGAAACAAAACAGTTGATTTACGCCTTATAATTCTATCATTTTGATCTCTGACAAATGGAGAGCATATTCATTGTCACCGACCTGAAAAACGTAGAAATTTGTTTTGTAAAATTCAGAAAATCCTTCTAATTTATATATCTTAGGACCTTTAAATCACTGTGGCGTTGTCGCATAGTGGGCAAAATTACAAATGTTAATCCGTGCCAAAGCATAAATGTTTCGCCTAGTATATTTAACCATTAACCACTATTTTTTCCACCTTTGATGATTAGTGGAAACGTTTTTCTACTTATTTTACAGCTACACTGAGAGCCACTGACGGCTTGAGTTCAATGTGTACGAGAGAGAAGAGTTAGAAAGAGATAGAAGCCGACTGGATAGCGAAGCTTATCACCGCGTGTCCTAGCAACGCTGACGCGGCAATCTGCTGCATTGTCAGTATATTACACCAATTCCTTGAATTGAGAGGCATGATGAAAATATGCGTTAGTTTATTCTCTACGCTCAAATGATGGTTTTATTTTTAGCGTACACATTTTTTAATTGTGATGAAACTCTTTAGGATCGATTCCAGTTCGGGCCTAACGGTACTCCATTTTGAGTCAAACTGAGAGGTCATGATCGCCACAAATTCTGCAGCATTGCATTATTGGTTCGCTTGGCAACACCACATCTCGTACATTCCAAGGCAAGGTTTTCACCTCTATGATCATAGATGAGCGATTTTTGACAGTATCCATTTAGCGTTCATAGGAGAGTGTCGTCTTGCAGTGATAATTTGAATTGCATAAATCAAAGATAATTTCAAAATAAATTAAAACACTATAAGTCGCATCAAAATTGAAATAAATAATTGAAGACACAAGTGGATAAAGATGTCATGTAACATTTTTTTAATTGCTTTTTTGCATTAACCTAACTTTAAGGGGTGATTCTTTCATTCTGCGATTACTTTGTTGCAAAAAACAGATAATAACAAGCTAGTTGAACAGAATATCTAAAATTGCAATTAATTAGAAAGTTACAATAAAATGTTTAAAGTCAATTTTCTGTTTGTGTAAATATCAACTTAAATGTTCGAAGAGACCTCATTCTTGGGCTTGACAGTAACCTAACCAATTGCCTGTGTCAACACTTTCTGGTGTAACATATTGGTAACGCTGCAGATTGCACGACGTTCGGCGTCACCGTCGCTAGGCAACGTGGTGACGACTTCCGCTCTCCAGCCGGCTTCTATCTCTTTCTAACATGTGTTGATACACACTGCCTTGAAGGTTTCCTTGTCCTCCACTTTTATGATTGTCACTGTCAGTATGACTACTGCTTGTTACGGCCGTGTGATTTGTGTTTACCCATTTTGATTTTCGACATAAAACATGGCAGTGCTTGAAGATACAACTGCTGTCGACAGTCATTATAAGTATTCTTAGAATGTGGATGAAAGCAACGGTTCTCTATCACTCATTCCATGTGTACGTGCCAGAACTAGTAGCCGCAGCGTTACGGATCGGCTATCGTAGTAGGCAATTTTTCTTAGGGACAAGACAATGCACCACCTCACAAATCCGTTATTGCAATGGCCAAAATTAACGAATTAAAGTTTGAACTGCTACCTCATGTACCCTATTCACCAGATTTAGCCCCCTCGGATTATTTTCTGTTTCCAAACTCGAAAAAATGGCTCAACGATGAAGAAGTGATGTCGGCAGTTAATGGCTATTTTAAGGAGCAAGACAGTTCTTATTATAAAATGGGTATCGAACTTATTGAACATGCTGGGAAAAGTGTATAGAGCTCAAAGGAGATTATGTTGAAAATAAATACATTTTTTTTACAAAATTTTTGTGTTTTCTTCGTTGGGTCGGGTACTTCTGGGACCACCCTCATAGGTGCTAAGTATACCTGATCAGTCGTTTCTTATCTGCAATTCACATTTCTTCCAAATTACTATAAGCTCGTGACAATTTAGTCAGCTGCCCAAGCTAAACTCATATCTTAGCCCGTATCGTCAGTCGTTCCTACAATTATTGTAGGGCGCGTTTATGGCCTCCTT